GGGGGAGGGGGTGGGGGGGCCGTGAGGAAGTTGTGGCCAAAGAAGCAGAAAGACAAAAGACCAATCAATGAGAAAAACTGAGAGGCAAAGGAGCCAAACAGAAAGATGGAGAGGGAGCACCCAAGTCTCCTGTCCCTCCAAACTTGCTACTTAAATCTTAGCTAAAGAACTTGGCAGAATGTTCCAAGCTTGTGTGAGAAAAACCAAATAAACCTGAGACACAGATGGGGGAGGTAGGGGCCTGAGCAGTGGAATAAAAAGGCCAGGATAGGGTCTTCACCATTCTTCCCTTGGGGGAAATCTGGCAGTCAGCAGCCTGCTGCTCTGCTATCTAAATTGGACCACCAGGACAAGATAAAATTGATAACAGAAAGTTTATTCAAGAATTGTTTGACAGACAACCCTTTTAAGTAAGGAAAAAAGTAACTACAGAAGAACAAAGAAAGTTCCAAGAGGGAATTAACTCTAATTCTACAAATTCAGGACTATACAGTGACAATTAGGAGCTGAGTTCATGCCTTTTAGAACTAATTACACTTGCTCAAAAGTACGAGTTTAACATAAATCTACAGCTCTTTTCTAGAGTACAATATAACTAAAATAGCTGGTTTTACATGACAGGGAACACAACATCCTTTATAACAAGTAAATACTAAAAAAAAGTACAATTCTTTTCCTTTTTCCTCATATAAATACATAATGTAGGGGATAAATAATACAAAAAAGGAAAATATTTTAACAGGCTATAACCAATAAATATATATGAAAATGTTCACTAGAACACACACTTTTTGAGCAATGCTGGACTCCTGCAGGCCCAGGCATCTCTCACAGTTGTTTTTATATCCATTAAAATGTAAACTCTAAGTGCAACAAAAGTGTCCTGTCCCGGTTGAGCAAGGCACACAGGCCCAGCTGCAGACCCCGCCTGGGACAGACAGTTTGTTAAAATATACCCTGTTTTCACGTTAAGTCAAGAGAGCAACGGAAGAAAAGAAAAGTGTAGAACCTCGTGTCACCGACTGCTTTCTGTGGAGAGAGGGGGATGGACCTGGAGCTGAGATGCGAAGCAGCAGAATGGGCAAACCTTCAGTCCTGACAGCTTGCCTGCCCTCACCTCCCAGTTTTGCCATAAAAGAAAAAATATATATATATATATTTATAATATAGACAGCTCTGACTTTCAGGATCTCTCACCATCCCTGAGCCCTCTGAAGACTGTAATTGATGGGGGCGGGGTATAGATATTAATGTCCTAGAGCAGGAAAAGTGTGGGACTAGAAATGGAGGGAGTGCCCAATCAACCTCAAATCGATTGACAGAAATTTGAGGATTCAGGGAAGTGGGAGGGGTACGTGCTTTGTGCCCTTGGTTTTGAAATGTGTTTTAATTTTTTTTTTTAAAAGGAGAATTGCCAGGAAAAAAAAAAAATCAAGATTTGGGGGAATTACCCACATAGACGTAAGGTAAGTTGGTTGGTTGGCTGGTGATGGCCTAGCCATCTTGTCTGTTTTTTATAAATGTGCTTCTCTGCCTTGTTTCCCTATCTCCTCTTTCTCTACCCCACTCTCGAGGGTAAAATTCCAACTGGGTATTGCTGGAGGCCTAGGATTGATAGGGTCATCTCCAATCTGCTGTAGATTCCTTTCCAAAGGGTGGGCAGGCAGACTTAACAAGAGCTGCAGGACTTAAAAAGCAACTTCTCAGGCCAGGAGAAGGGGAAGGAACTCCAGGCCCTTTCTTCCCGGGAAGCCTGGCTGCCACCTCCCTGCCTCCTCTTTCAGACCTCCAGGCTGTCCCGCAGAACTCCACAGCCCCCGCCCTTCCTGGGTCTCCCCCACCCCAGGACCTGCCCCTCAGCCCTCCCTCTCCCATCACAGGTGTGTTAACTTGGGCGCTTCTTGGATTCTACCCTGAGGAGGCGGCGCATGGTGAGAGGAGAGGTCTGTGTAGGTGGGGTGGGGGTCGCAGGGTCCGTGGTGCTGGCTGGGGGCCATAGGAGGCGCCCCGTTGTAGTCCAGGTTCCCCGAGGGGTGGTGGGAAAGGTGGTTGAGGCCGTAGAGGGAGGGGCCGGCAGAGGGCGGCAGCGGATCCGCGTAGCCGCCCCCGCCCACGTACACCGGGCTGCCCTGCATGGTGGGCGTCCCGTAGGCGCCCCCGTTGGCTTGGAGGACATGAGGCTCGTAATCGGGCGCCGGGGTCGGGGGGTACTTCTGAGGGGCGCCGCAGCCTTTGAGGGGGGGCTGGTAGTTGGAGGGCAGCGCATAGGCATTCTGGTGGGCTTTGCCGAAGGCGGGCGGGGATGGGCTCTCGTAGCTGGGGGTCATGGAATGCAATCAGAAAGTCACCTTAGTACTGACACTACGCGGGATCCGGCTAATACTGCTCAGTACTTTAAACGCTCAAATACTCAGGGGCGGAAGGCCCCTCCCGCCGCCGCCATGCTCATGCTTTTCAGCTTATTATCTTTTTTCCACTTCATTCTCCGGTTTTGGAACCAGATTTTAATTTGTCTCTCGGAGAGGCAAAGAGCATGTGCTATTTCAATTCTTCTTCGGCGGGTCAGGTAGCGGTTGAAGTGGAACTCCTTCTCCAGCTCCACCAGCTGCGCGCTAGTGTACGCCGTCCGCGCCCGTTTGGACGCCGCCGAACCCGGGGGGCTCTTGTCCCCTCCCCCGCCGCCGCCGCCACTGCCTCCGCCGCCGCCGCCGCCGCCGCAGCCCTCTGCTGGATCCGAGGGGGAGGGGTGGGAAGGGGAGAAAATGAAATAAAAGATAATTACTGAACACGCCGAAATTGAATGCATCGTTTCTTAATAAATCCAGGCCTGGACTCGGAGCACCCGCCGCCCTCCCCTTCGCGTCCCCGCCTCCTCCTCTCCACTGCCCCCCCACCCGCCCGTCGCATTAGCGGACACTCTATAATAGTGGCATTTATTAAGAGACCTGTTCGCCTCTCGCTGCCCCAGCTTATGAAAATTTGATCATGTCACGCAGACAGAGCCGCATGCCCATTTATTTAGGCCTGGATTTTCTCGCGCACGCTTCCATCCCCAGTTCCAGGTGTGGAAGACACTCCTCCCACCCCGACCCCGCCCGGTCCTGTGGACCCGGCAGGTGCCTGAGGAGAATCCCGGAGGGAGTCTGGACATTCTGGGCAGGGCGCGGAAATGTGGGGCGAAGAGGCTGTAGTGCCTGGAGGCCGGGACCCCGGGCCGCCCGAGCGAGTGATTAATGCCCACAGTAATCATCCTTAATAATAATCAATCGTTGACGACTCTGCGTCTACTGGCAGCGTCTGACTCTGCGGCCTTGCGAACGGCTGAGGCCGAGCACCTGGACTTCTGGACCTCTCAGAAGCTCAGGTGGAGGGGGCTGGAGGGAGAGGGTGTTGGCGGGGTCAGGGGTCATCAGGTGGTGGGGGGGTACGGGGAAATGCGCCGCTAACGCCACCACCTGATATTGTTCCCAGGCCGCCGCCTGGGCGCCTAGGGGCTGGGTGCTAGAATAACAGTGACATTCCTGGCCTGGACAAACGCTGACGACGAGGAAGCCAGAGAGCCGGTACCTGTGCCAGGGGAGATGTTTTTCAGCTTGGACGTTTGCCTCGACTCTTTCATCCAGGGGAATATCTGTTTGGTGAGGGTGGAGTTGGAGCCGGGACCGCACTTGGGGGGGCCGCTTTTGCTGGGGCCGCCCCCGTTACTGCTGTTGCTAGTGGTACTGGTAGGTGCAGCGCTGGGCGGGGGTGAGCCGGGCGGGGCGGGCAGGGGCTCGGGGGCCAGGCCGGGCCTCATGCAGCTGCCGTTGAGCTCCTTGCTCTTGGCGTGCGGGGCGGCGTTGCCCAGGGACTGCAGCGAGCACGCTGAGCGCTGGTAGTCACCCTCCAGGTGCGTGGCGGCCTGGAAGGGGGGTTGAGGGGGACCGTCGTAGCCGAAGCCATTGCTGCCAGGGTACGAGGAGTAGCCTCCGAAGAGTGCGGCCGCAGTGTTGTCGTAGTAGGTGGCTTTCTGCATCGCTGGGCGAGGCCCGGGCGGTGGGTGGCAACTTGCAAGGGCCTGATACCCTCACGACCAGACATTGGCACCCCTGGGGTCACGTGGCTCGTCGGACCCCCCTCCCCTTTCTGCCCCCCTCCTCCCGGGGTCTGTTCGTAGCGGTTGACCTGCGGGGTGAGAGAAGAGACACAGGGGGAGAAGAGGACTGGGGCTCGAATCCATCTTAGGAACTGAAAAGGGAACTGACATCAATAGGGTTTTTCTTCTCTCCCACCCAGCATCTTCACAGCAGACGCTGAGGCCACTTCCTTGACCTGAAATGGATTTTTCTTATTGCAACGCTTTAATTTTAAAAGGAAAAGCCCACCAGTTTTCATTTCCACTCAAAAAATAAGGACTCTACTCCTTTGGGGACTGCCTAGATATAGAATCTTACTATTGCAAGGGACATTGCTTCTCTCCTGCCTGCACACTAGCCCCTGACCTCTCCTCTTCCCTCCTTCTACACCGTCCCCCCCCCAATCTGGGATAGGTGTGTGGGGGGGATTGCAGACTCCAAAATAAAAGCATCATCAACACCGTCCTCTGAGCTGAGAGGCCTCCTGCCTTTGCCTCTATCTAGGTTCCTTTCGTCCAGAGTCTAGCCTGGAGAAAAAACTGAGTATCTCTGAAAGAGGCAGGAGGAAGAAGCAAGTTGAGCAGGGGACCTTCTGGTGTGAGGGATACTCTCCTTCCCCTCCCACCTCACGAAGACTGCTGCCTGACCTAGAAACTTCCTGAAGATTGTTAACCTGCAGAGCCAGTGGCACTGAGCCTCCTCCATGGCCTTGCTGCAGGTACCAACACTTCCAGTCTGAGTCTTTTCTAGCCAAGTCGGGACCCCACAGCCAGCAGCCCCCATGGGGCCCCCAAATGGAACAGGATTGTTTTCCTGGCGGGGCTGGTTGGTGCTGTGACCATTTGGCCCAGGTCTCCCCCCACCCTCTGTTTTTTTTTTCATCAGGCTTAATTTTTTCCCCACCCTTTTCTTGACAGTCTGTTTCCTTTGATTTTTCTAAAGAAGAAAAGAAGAAAGAAATTGGATAACTGCTGGACTTCTACTGAGAGATGGGAAAGTGCTTTCTAAAACAGAAAACTTTTCCCTAGGAAAAAAGAAAGTAAACAAAGCAACTTGAACAATATTATCCTCTGGGTTGGAAACTGGGTGCCCCTGTTTACTGAAGTTCTCTGAGGCCAAAAAAAAAAAATGATTATTTTAATGCAACCTTTTAAAAATGTGCTGGAAAAATAAAGGTTCAAGTTGTCACAGGATTTTGTGTATTTCTTCTGAAACTTCTGACTGCATCCCCCCATCTATCTTCCCAATCCCTCACCATCACTTTTCATAAAATCTTCAGACTGACCCCCTCTTCTGACATATGAGTTTGGACTACTTAAATCTCATTCAGCCCAGCTGGTCAACTCCAAAGAAAACTAAAAATAGGAAAATAAAACAAAAAGGAGTGCAGGTGAAGGAAATCCCTCCCACACATAAACCCCCTTCTTAATGGCACAGATTTATACTCAAAAGGGAGCCGGGTAGCCCTGAGTTCTGATTGGGTTCTGGGAAGAATTTGTTTCTGGGAAACACGCATGGGTCTGCAAAGCAGCAGGTCCTTCCAGAGAGGAGAACTGGAGTTCAATTGACCAGGCTGACCCAATCCCTTTATTATTATTACCATTAGCCTCTGATGATTTAACCAAAATTAGCTTCGGAGCAGCCCCGGCTGAAGGGGGAATTAATTAACAGGCATCAGTTGAGTTTGTTATTAATAGATAGGAGAATGAAATAAAACTGTTGGAGGGGGTTGGCTGGCTGGGCCCCGGCTTTATTTAGTCTAAATGATTGTTACAGCAGTAATGATGATGATGATGATGATGATGATGATGATGATGATAAAACAATAATTTGACTAGACGCCTGGGGCTGAAATTCCTGTCGCTCCCCCTGCAATAAACTCGCAAACCATCGCAGGACCGAGGCCAGGAGAGTGTGGGAAGCAAGAAGCCAGAGACGTGATAGGAAAGAATGGAGACTCCGCTGGCGGCGAGAAAGGGCCGGGAAGGTTTGCGGACAGAGTTAGCCCCTGGCTGCCGCCGCCGGGCTGTCTCGGCTGCTGCTGCCGCGGTGGCTGGCGATGAGCTATGTTGTCCCAAGGAGGCGAAGGGAAAGCGTTCAGGACACGGAAACGGTTAGCAGCGGCAGGTTCCAAGCACACCCTGCCGAGGGCCGAGCCCTAGGGCGGCAGCAAGTTTGGGCGCTGGAGGTAACCGAATTAAAAGGCATCTTAGCAACTCCGCACCGGGACTTTGCCAGGCCAGACTCGGCTGGAGGGCGCAGAGGCCTGGCTGATGGGACAGTGAGACGAGGGAAAGGTGCCGAGGGGATCCGAGATCTGGGGATCCAGGAAAAGGGGGGGTGGGGAGCAGCTCTACCAAGCCAAACATGTCTATTTCCCTTGCCTCCATGTTGGAAAAATCCAGGCTCCATATGGCTTCTCGGGAGAAAGGGAGGGAGGGAAGGAGACGTGGCTCCCGGCTTCCCCCCAGGGTCTCGCTGAAGAAGGGCGGTGAGCCACCCCAAGAAACCCACCTTTCCAGGCACATCCCCGAAATCCTGGGAGAGTAACAATAGCTGGGAAGCTCTGGGAGAGGGGATAGGCCACCTTCCAGGACTTTAAAAAAAAAAAATAGAAGGAAGAAAAATAAAACAACAAAAAAGGAAAAGAGAAAAAGATTAGGCTCTTCTTAGCAGCGGGGCAAAAATTCAGCCCTGATCTGACTGCTTAAAGAAAAGAGAAGAGAAAAGGAGAGAAGTAGGAAGAGAGAGGGAGAGGGAGAGAGGGAGGGAGGGAGGGAGAGAGAGAGAGAGAGAGGGGGAGAGAGAGGGAGAGAGAGAGTCGCTGCGTGGAAGGAAGCTTAAAGCTTGTGAACTCTTCTTGAACCGGAGAGAGAGAGAGAGAGAGAGAGAGAGAGGGAGAGAGAGGGAGAGAGAGAGTCGCTGCGTGGAAGGAAGCTTAAAGCTTGTGAACTCTTCTTGAACCGAGATTGGAGTCATATGGGCCATAAATCATTGAGACATACTCTCCGCCATTCACAAACTGATAGCCTATTTCAGTCCAGCTTACCTTAGCCACCGATGAGGGGAGAACAGGCAGACATAATATATATTCACATCGAGCCCCAGCGCGAGCGGCAGGCGAGAAATCTCCCCTCCTTGAAGGCAAAGGAAAAAAAGACCACTGTTTAAAGCGGCGTCGCCCCCCTCCCCAATAGCCACCCCGGCTGGGGAGCCTGAGGGGCAGACCGGCCGGAGGAGCCGCGCGGCGTCCGCTTCAATTCACTCGGCTTAGGAGCGGGGGGTGCGCAGGAGGGAGGGGGTGGGGGAGCGGGGAAAAAAATAGAAGAAGACCAAAAGGTGCTCAGGCGGCTCAGCTCGCTGAGAATCCAGCTCCGGGCTCCGGCACGGCCAAGCCGCCACAGTGTGGTTGCCCTATAAGGCTGGTACGCCCTACTCTCCGTAACAATGGCCTCTGCTTTTGCACAGGGAAAAAAAACCACACAGACACACACACTCACACACTCACTCACTCACTCACTCACACACACACAAGCTCACACACACCCCCACCTCTCCCCCTTTAGCAAGCTTAGATGCCTGATAAGGGAGGAAGGTGATGGTGGTGATGGGAGAGGGGGAACATTTTGAAACCACCCCCCCTCAATTTAAAAAAAAAAAAAGAGTGAGAAAGGAAAGGAGGTAGAGGTTTTGAGTTTTGTTTTTGTTTTTTAAGGACAGGTAAATTTTTAAATTCAGATTTTGGCGGGGGAGGAAGAGGAGCGCAAAGATAAGGCAAAGCCCGCGGAGTTCACAGCTCCCCCCAGCACCACTAGTAAACCCTTCCTCTAATTGGAGAAGTACCTTGGGAGGCCCTGGGGGGGGGGCGTCTCCTGGGTGCCCCTCTGCATTCATTCGCAGTGGGAACACTGGGACTTTTTTTTTTTTAAGTAGTTTCACTCTTGCGGCACTGGTGGCTGCGTCTCTGGCCCTCTGGCTCTGTCTCCCTCCTTCCGAGTCTCCCACAGTCTCCCAGTCTCTGTTTCTTCTCTCCCCCACACCCTCTCTATTCCTCCTCTCTCCCGGCAAATCTCCTGGCCCAGTTTCCAACCTGTAGGGGGGGGTGGGGAGCCAGACCTCTCCTTTCTTTTTAACAGACCACCCCCCCCCAATTTGAGAGCAGACAACAAGCGGTGAGTGATTATTTTAAAAATCCAGACCATCTTGTAGGGGGAGGGGGGTTGAGGAGAGGGTGACAAAAGGAGGACCTTGTGTTTAGCCTGAGTTCCAGACACGGCTGCCAATAGAGAGGCTGTAAGAACTGCATGAAGTTTCTGTTGAGATTCTCACCTCTGGATAGGCAGAAGGGGCTAAGAGGTGATAAGGGCATTTGTACTTCTAAGAAGATGAGAAGAACCAGCAAAATGGCTTAATTTTAAATGCACTGGCAGAAGAGATGGAGGATAGTTATTTATATTATTATTATTCAGAACAAACCTGTTATTTTCTCTTAGCTCTACAAGATTTAGGACTCTTGGAACAGGTGAGGAAGACTACAAAAGCTCAACTTTTCTTCGAGTGTGTTTTAGAAGGGCAGGAAAAGGCGAGGAGGCCTGTAGGAGGAAGACAGGAGGCAAGAATGTAGGTGTCTGCAGATTTGGGGTGGGGGTGGGGAAGAGCCGTTCCTGGAAGAGGAAAAAGACAAAAAGAGCACCAGGACTTTTCCAAAAGCAGGAGTGTCTGCAACTCTGCCGAACTGCTGACTCGGGCTTAGAGGATAAAATAGAAGGCCGACAGTCTCTCTATTCTACAAAGGCAGCTTGGAAAACTTGTCCTCTTAACTTCTCCGTAGACAGAGCCAGCCACTACCTTGTGACATCCTGGTTAGAATCCTTGGCTTTTGCCTTCTCCCATCTGGATG